CCATTTTCATTTCGAATCCACTTTCAACTTTGCTTTCTTCCATTCTTCATTCCAATGGGCAGGCAACAGATAGCAATCAAAACTGTCGCACGAAAGTGCATGGTTAATGGTTGTTCAAACCAAAACTAATATCTCGGAGATTAATCAATTTCATTGCGTCCTGCGGAAATATTCACTCCGTCCGTCTGATCCATGTCCTATGTCCGATTAAACTTTGCTAACTGTGTACTTGATTGGCACAATCTTTTTCTTGCATTAATCGATACTATTTTGGGTCACATATAAGCATCAGAGTAAAACTTGTTAATTGACTTGCTTCCTGTGTGTCAAGTATACGTTCGTTGTGCACTAATTGTGTTCTTGCTTACGTAGCTGGGAGAAGGCTACTAGTGCTCGTGGCGTCCAAACTGTGCTGTGATCTTACTCGTGGGGCCAGACGATTAGTGTGGCCGTTGAAGTACGTGTGTTCCTTGTGTGTCATCGTGTGATATCTTGTTGTGTATACATTGTGATCAATGCGGACCAGACACATCAGTGTCTGCTCGCATACAGAAGGCTCGATTTGCATTTGCTAACTTGAGACATCTGTGGCGCCGTTGCGACATCTGGCTGTCTGTGAAGGGTCGAGTGTTTGCCGCCACAGTTCGGCCAGTCCTGCTATACGGTGCAGAAACGTGGCCATTAAGAAAACAGGATAAAGACAGAATGTCGGTGTTTGAACAACGCTGTCTACGCAGCATTGCACGAACCTGGTGGGGTAGCTGGACGAGCAATGCTGAATTTAGGGGCAGAGTTTTGGGTAAATACGGTCGCCCACTGGAGCAAGTGGTCGACCGCCATAAATTACGTTGACTGGGACATGTGTTACGCTCGCCTAACCTTGTGAAGCCTTATGTGGTTCCACCCATTACCGGGGCTTCGGTTACCGATTTTCTTGATCGAGTATCTGACCGTTGTTTCTATGCTTTTCACCCCTTCTACTGTTTTGCGGATGACGGTTTTTATTGAGGTTAGTTTTGGATATGGTTGATTTTACGTAGAAGCACGTCTCCGCAAACTTCCCACCACCCACCATTTTTCTGTCTATTTTGACCTGAAAGCCTTTTCTAACTTGATCAACCTCATCATGGAATACGTAAACCTCTGTTCAAGGGGATGTCCCTAAGTTCACCTTTACTTAACATTGCTAAATGTGCATAACCCACGTCCAATTCGTGCTTGTGGCCCTTCACTGCCGGAGCTCCCAACTAGTGCTTCATTTGATTTTAGAAACTCTGTTAGCGGAAAGAAAGTGATACAAATCTGTTCCTAGGTAAAAACCTGTTCCTTATGTATTTGATTCGCAACACTTGAACGTCTTTTTGGCTACTACTTAGTTGTCTGTTTCCTCAACACCATGGTTTCAAAATTGTAGTACACTACCCACATGCTTCCTTAATTACTCCGTAAGTTACGGTTGTATTTTTTTGGTCTCTTTTAGAAAGAATTTTTTCCAAATAAGACATTCCATCGAAATTGATCTGATTCGTCGACTTCAAACCCACCTATTTGAACAGAAATATGGCGTCTGAGAACGATCATAATTCACATAAACTTTGTCCAATTTGTCATGAGGATATCGACTATTTCGCATACGGCTCATGCAATCATCCTACCTGCACCAAATGTATTCTCAAGTTGCGGAAGTTTGGCAGTGCGGACGAGCCGGATTTTTCCAAATGTCCTACTTGTCGCCGGAATTTGAATATGGTAACTGCATTTATTTCGTTTCAAATGGATTGCTGTAAATTTCCCCCGTTCCTTTTGTTCAGATTGTGATTATGGAATCATTCATCCCGTTTGATCAGGTGAACACGAGCACACTGCGACGTGATTCACAATATGATTTCGTCTATCCCACAGACCACATTGGACAGCATTATCGGGATATGTTGCGTTCCCGTTGTCCGATTTGTGGTGAAGAGAAAGCCTCTTTGTCCGCTTTAAATAGGCACACCACAATAGAACATCAACTTTCTTATTGCGATCTATGCATCCGTTATGCAAGGGTAGGAGTTCAAATTTCGATCGATCGCACGGTTATCTTTGTTAGTTGTTACCTTGTGAGTTTGTTCCCATGAAACCATCCGATTTGGTGCAGCATCGCAAATGGGATAAACAACGCAGACGTGGTCATCCGTCGTGTGACTTCTGTGAAGAACGATTCTACGAGTTTGAGGATTTAATTCATCATTTGCGAGATTGTCATTTTCTCTGTGATCTATGCATGACTGCGGGGAAATTTGTCGTATTCAGGTATGTGCATCTTTGTATGTCAAACCTTTTGTTCACAACTGGTACCTTTTCCAAATAAGTGGGAGCACGTACGATTTCGCCGTTTGCCATTTACCTGACCGCTACCATCTACATTCGAACTTTACAATCACTATCCCTGTACCGACAATCGAGTGGTCTAAATTGCATCTATTAGTACCTTAGTTCGGGAAGTTTGTGGGTTGGGATTTTATCGCAATTCCGATAATAGGATGATCACTCGTTTTGCTATCACCCACCTCTTTTCTGCGAGATACTGTACGGTTTTCTACCGGGGTTAAAACCATTGATTTCTTTCGCATTACAGAATATTCCTGTGACTTCGGGAGGGGAGAAAGGAGGGTGCTGTGCGCTCCACTGGTTTCCGTGAATATTTTATGAATGAAAAGACCGGTCTTGCTTTTTGTTGGCAATCCATTCAAACAGTTGATCAATTTGCGGCATTTATTATTTGATTTAGTCTGGTACACAGTCTGGCGTCAGACGTGATATATAAATATATATCTTTATGTATGCGGTACAAAAATAGAATTCCAGTGTGATCGGTACAAAGAGCCTGTCATACATTTTGATCGTCAGTGTGAAAGGATAGTAATGTCTAGATTTAACAGATAGTTCCTCTTCTTAATTTAAATTTACAAAAGTTATTGGATCATTCAGTCATTTTCGGCCAAAGACTTCGATGGAACGTTTTGGTTCATACATATAAACGGTACACTTTGGATTCGGGTGGCAACCCTTGTTCGACCGCCTAGCTCACTAAATTGAGGTGTTCGAAGCAGAAAACAATGCATCGAGGACAGATCTTTTCGGCATCCTTTTAGTCTGGCCAAAATCAATAACTGACAATCGATTTAGAATCGTTTTAAGTATTTAGGATCAAGTATTCTACCTTCCTGTCAAGCCAAAGACGAAATTCTGGAGAAACGCATTCTTTATGTCCCTCAATACCTTTTGAACTCGAGGATAAGTTATCCCCTGGGGATAAGGGTGAACCTTCCAGGCGAACGTTCGCTCATTCGTAATATACGGTTGAGGAACCTGAGCAATATCAGAGGAGCACTTCAGAAGACTGGAAGCCTTTAATCATTGGTGCCTCTTAAATTATTGAAAATAACACAAAGATCAAATAATAAACAAAGATGTATGTAGGCGCTGTTTTAACATCTTGCGATTGTCAGTCTTTGTACAATACCGCCGCCTTTACCGGTTCAACCCCGTCGTATGATGTAGACCTATCAAAATCTGTAACATCTGTTTCACCTCGACGCCATGCTCAACTAGGCGTTTTCACAAAGGAGGACAATCAAAACATTGGACTTCATGGAGCCTATCAGGGTTACTCATTTGTGAAAAATACAAGGTCTCGAATGAGCTTCAGGCTTGGATCCATAATCAGTGTTCGATGCTAAATGCATTGCACTTCTAATTTGGCTCCATAGATCATTTANATCATTTATTCCGACGCGTCGCACACTTGGCGCATGGCTGAGCTCATCCGTGTAGCTAATATGAGTAGCTGGATCGGACAGACGACGATAAGCCAAAAGTTTCTGGCTTTTGACGGGGACCGCTGAGTCGAAGCACAAAGGGCATCAAAATTAATGAATGATTAGACGCAACACAGGTGGTCCATCAGGACCTGAAATTTTGCACTAAGCCACGCCAACTGTATCTTACTGATGTGGTCAGTCTGAGTCAGCTTATCCTTCGAATTGGATCGCCACGTTGCTATCTGTCGACCCCTGTGTCGGAAGTTGGTAATAAATGGAAGCAGACAGCTGGATGAGGAGGCTAATTATAGTAATCTGTTCTCTGACAGGGCCTGCGCAGGTATCCGATATGCTCAGTTTTTCTGACTTTGCGGTAAAATCGCCGCTGGCAAAAATTGATCGAAATTTCGACTGCCGGATAATTTCGGTGAAGTGATCGTAAAACCCATCAGAACTGTATTTGGTGCATTTGGTTAGATAATAAATAACCAACTCTTGATCTTGGTTGTCATCCGGTTTTATACCACCCGACTTAGCGGTGTTATCCAGTCCAAGTCTCGGGATTTAGGTTACCAGTTTCCACCACTGAGAAGCAGATCCTAGTAACTGTGGGGTTCGCCCCGTCCACTGTGCATCCGTTTAGGTGTGTAATAAAAAATCCACTTGATATTGCAACCCCAGGGTACATGAATTCTTCATCTTCTCTTAAACTCTGCTTTTAACACTTATTCAAATGGGCAATCATGATACAGCAACCAAAATCGGCGCACGAAAGTGCATGGTTAATGGTTGTAAAAACTGAAACTGAACTTTAATTAACAGGTTTCTATCAAAAAGATGCCCTTCTCAGATATGATTGTCGATTATTCGTTTCGACGATAATGTATCCTGAAATGCGCACCACATTCGTGGGACTACTGTAGTGTTTGTCGTGCAAGTTTTAGAAAAAGTGAGATTATCTGGCGGGATTGGTGTATGCATTGGTTCTCAGGCGGTAGTTTGAGTGCTAGTGTAGCCATGTTCGGCATGCGTTAAGCACCTTCAAAGTGTGAAATGTTGCTCCAATATGGGGTTGGTTCAGCACCCAGTCTCACCCTGACTGAAGAAGTAGACAAATATTTTTATCTGGATAGCTATATCTCAACTCGCGGACGAGGTGTCAGCGCGTATACAAAAGGCTCGGTTGCTATTTTCGAACTTGAGACATTTGTGGCGCCGTCGCGACATCCGGTTGTCTGTGGAGGGTCGAGTATATGCTGCAGCAGTTCGGCTAGTTCTACTTTACGGTGCAGATACTTGGTAGTTACGGGAACAGGATGAAAGTAGATTGTCGGTATTCAAACACCGCTGTCTACGTAGCATTGCTCGAATCTGGTGGGGCAGCTGGACGAGCAATGCTGAGATTACGCGCAGTTTTGGGTAACCGCAGTCGTCCAAAGGAGCAAATGGTCAACCTCCATAGATTGTGCTGGTTGGGGTATGTGTTACCCATATCACCAGATAGGTTGCCAGGGCGAACGATGTTCGCCGAGGCAGATAGCGGTTGGAAAAGGGCAAGGGTGGTCAAACGAAGACCTGGCATGAGGGTATGAAAACTAACCAGGAGACTAGGTCACATAGGCCCCGTTAGACTCCCTGGTTGGGGACCTCGGGACGGTCGTAACCGATGGTTAGATACACTGAGTGATATGCCTAGATATCGTAAACAGTAGCGCTCGTGCATCCACTCATTATTCCCCTTACATCATTCTATATGAACTCTCCATCTTCCGCTTGAATTTGCTTTCAACATTCCAATCTTTAATCTGCTCTTTCATCCAAATGGGGCACCAAAAGACAGCAACCCGAACCGGCGCACAAAAGTGCATGGTTAATGGTTGTAAACACTAAACTCAAGCGGTATGTATGTACGTTAGTTCAAACCCGTTGCAAGTTTGGTGGTAGGTAGCTTTGCTGTCGATCGGAGCAGTACTATGCCCTCATAAGATCTTGTTATTAGAATCCTCAGTCTTAAATGACTATTTTCTGTCACCGAAAACTACGTCCCAGAGTAATGTGCACACAATCTCTGAAAGATGTGCAGTCCAAAGCAAAATGACTGTTACTTCTAATTTTGAGATGTATGATAAAAATTCATCTGGGCACAGTTTCACTTCAGTTTATGCAACTATTACCATGCACTATCGTGCGCCGGTTTTGGTTGCCCAGTTGGATCAACTGAATACCTTTTTAACTTCAGGTTAATCCAACTAATCGCACTCCAAGTTTATTGGTGTTTTGGCCCTAAAATGTCACCGATTGGACCAGGTCTGTCTAAGCCCCGTCCATTCCGAATGAACTGACCTTTCCGTAAACAAACCAAAGTACTTTTTGAGTGAGTTACCGAGGCAGGATGAATGTTTCGGGGGGGGGGGGGTTAAAGTGGACCGTTCTTCCCCCACCCCGACGCACACTCGTTCCACCCGGGAACGTTATGTTCGTGATCGTTGATCGAGTATGCGTCATAAATACGATGAACTAACTCGGAGTTAATTGACCTCCGTCGGTCGGGTAAGGAAGCGAATCACGTCAGGATGGATCGATAAATCGGTCACCGTGCCCAGACGTGAATGTGAGCATGATTCATCGCATGAGTGGAGTCAGTCTATGTCCTCAATAACCCAATGAGTAAATTCTATTGAGGCCGAGTTTCACTCGAATAAAACCAATTCCTTTGAATCAAATGCGATTGCTTACGTATTTCTGACATCGAAATGCACACTTAACAATATATTTAACAGGCATGAGATGATGGAGGTGATTATTGCAGTTAGTTTCTCCATTCGAATCATTCACTACCGGGATGAAAGATGACTCCTTTATCTAAAATGAAAATTAACCCAAGTCGTGTTGATCACTTTTACTAAACTGGGATAAACTCCAGTGGTCAAGAGTTTTTACCATTTGCACCCGAACGAAATGCAAACCGTTGACCTGCTTAACCTAGTCTGCAGGTTTTTGCATGATTGTTTGGTTTACCAATACTCAAACTGCCTGCCTTGATTTGCTTTTAATCTGCACGTGCCCTGGAAAACACTACCTACCGAGGGCCTGCTTCTTTGTGACATTAAAATGGAAATCAGCCTACTGTAATTATAAATGTGTTCAAATTCTACAAAATTTCCTAAGTACTCGGCATATTGACTTTAACGGTGGTAGAACTTTCTAACTTATATTGCCCACTCACAAACCGTTCAGTGACTGAAACAAAGAACTATCAAATCAAGCATTTTTATAGCTATCGGATAATATTCACAAACATGATTAGATGCATGCTGGCAATGATCCCTCGTGATTTGAGGCTTGGAATCACCGGTAATGCTTTCCAAACAAGCCATTCTCACCCGCCATCATTTTGGCAGGTTGATTTCGGAGCTGCGTTTTGATGTAACTTTTCGTAATGCGCTATATCATTTCAATCGGACTCAACACTGATCAATGACCTTTGGGACCGTAACAGACAATTCGGAGTTTTGAATCCTCTTTTAGGGGTATAATTCAACAACTCACCAGCATTCGTAGCCTCTATGATGTATAGATTTCTTCCTATTGAACTGGTATCTCATATCTAAGAGCCTCATAACATTGCTAGTATTGAACATATCTTGGAAATGACTCAAAAACATCGTTATATTACATTTCCTCTTCTCTTCAATATACAGTAAGCTCATCGTTTCCGGTTTTTGATGAATCTGTTTGATTGTAATCAAATAGCACTGACCTTAAATGAACCTTCATCTAAGTTCGTCGCGAAGCTGAGATGGGTTCCCTTCTTCGAAAAGGAATGCACAGAAGTACGCTAACTTACTGAGGTCGCTATACTCATCTCAGGTTGAGTAAGGGACGACAACGAGCTAAGTAGGCGGTTCGTCACCAGCAGCGATGTTCATCACGGGTACCCTAGTTCGCGATTCCTATTCAATTTTTCGTAGACGTATTTTTATCATTGGTGTTTACGTAGTTTAGCCCAAGCGGGATGGAGTGAACAAGTATTCTGGAGGTAAGCCATCATGTGTTTAGATGTTTATCAGGGATAAACCTGCTAGCTCATCGAATTCAGACTAGTGGGCTTCGCCGGCTAGGGCACGTATTGCGTGTGCAAAATGTTCAGTGGACAACAAGCTATCGGATCAGGATAAATGGATAGGGCAAAGCCAGGTAACATTTGTGAAGTGAACACGATATGAGAAATCTTAGACAACAATGAATGTGAGAAAAAGACAGTAAATGAGGAAATGGGGAGGATGTAACAGCAAAGTTTCAACTGTGTTCTAACTGATATGACACAATACCTAATAATCTGTTCGTGCCACATCCGGTGACTCACTAAGCTGGACACACATTGTTGAGAAAAAATTCAGCTGCCATTGATTTGCCCTTGAATTCGAATGAACCGTGTCAGATGGCGGTGGGTGATCACAACACAGGTTAATTCACACATTTTCTGAATCGTCTGTGTATCTGGTGCGGAAAGTCGACCGCTCAGTTTTAACTGAAGGCATCAAGTTTTTGGTAATCATGGGAACAAATCAACCGTCTTAATCCGCTAAAATAAAGACCGGCAGGTTTATCTATGAAAAATTGCGTAATTTTCTACAAACTGGCCGAAACACCAATAAACTTGGAGTGCGATTAGTTGGATTCACTTGAAGTTGAAGAAGTGTAGAGTCAGAGAAATAAACAAAGAATTTCACTGAACTAAGTTTCCAAGGAAACCGAGAAGATGCACGAACACTGTCTTCTCAGCATTGGTTATTGATGTAACATATTTACGCTGTAAAGGGAACCACACTACCAATTAGGAACGTTGCGTCTATTGCACCTGTAGTCACTTGGCGAATGTTGAAGCGATATCGTTGTAGTTTATGTTTATAAGCACATCACGAACGCATCCGAAAAATTCGTAAGCAAAAGTTCATTACCCACACAGAGACGGGTTTCGGTTCAGTCGCGTTTTGAAAATTTCTCTCATCATTTGCTGCAATCTCCAGCAAAACCGTTTTAATTTACTCTGCTGTTGGGCACAACATGTGCCTTGCACCCGTTACGATACAGCAAACCCGTCTTTAGGGTATCAGGATATCGCACTTCTTATGCTGCTGCATTTCCTGTCTATTCTTACCTATCGCATGCGGTCTGTATCACTTCATTTTCTCGCAGAGAGCAGCATGAGTTATTAACCCACTATGGTGATGCTCATCATCTGTGCGCGGAATGTCGTCAACAGCAACGGATCTCCTGTTTCTCCACTGCCGAAAATTTGGGAATCCATCGATTCCAAGAGCATCCAGATGCAGTGAACAATGACCCGGANCGCCGCCGGGATCCGTTAAATCCAGTAGTGGATCGGGTTGGTGGAGTGTTGAGTAAGTACCGCGGTTAGGTGTGACGAAACCTGCCAACACACATGCACAAGGAGTCAATCTTTGCGACTGTGTGCGCTCTATGGCAGTTCGTTGTCATTGTTTTTGCCCAACCTTGCCTATAAATTCGTTTTTCGTCGCTGGGTTGTGCATATAGGAAACTGATCGGACATTGGTTGAAGTCCTTACAATAGATTACTCTAATTAGGTGCTAATACCCAGTGAATGGTGCATTGTATATCATCGTGTAGATTCATTTCGACACTGTTTTGGTCTCCGTGGCTAAGCTTGTTCCCATCAACATAGTCCCACTCATTCTATGGGATATGACGGTAGGGAAAGCACACCTGTCGCGGCTTTCATCATTACATCTCTCCTTTCATATTTAAAGTTCCTTCCCAAGGAGACGATCGTACTACTTTGACCATCATATGGTTACACCATTTCGACAATGTGCTGTCGTACGACACGATACCATGCGGTTTAGTATTTTCACGTGTGGACTACTGACTGT